AATTGTTCTGGCTATACTCAAATCAGTTTGTAATTCTTTTCAAATAAAAGCAACCACCCACTCTGCTGACATCAACACACTTAAAGAAACATAATAAAAAAGTGCAAGCAAGCTGAAAGACAGACCAAACCTACATTGGAAAGGCGGAAGGGACAAAACTTGGGCTTTCCTCTTCTTCCATACTTTAGCAAGTATGCCTCTTTTTTTAAAGCAGTGATGGCCTGTTGTAAAGATCATCCAAGAACCCAACTTAAGCATTCTCAGCACACTTGAAGTTTAAGAATTAAAGATCAGAGGCTCATAAAAAACTAAAATTAAATCTTAAAAAATGCCCATTACATATTAGAAATAAATAAGAAAAAACATTCATCAGAAGAGAAGAACTAAAAGATTGAAGCATTGCAAAACAAAGGGAAACCAGCATCTTTTTCTTATTGGCAATTGCATGCTAGCATCTTCACAAGAGACATCATATACAAGGAAAATAGACTACAAAAACATACTTGATTTCCCTCCAGCTATTCCAGTAGTTTAGAAAGGAATAGAACAAGTAACAGCAAATGGCTCACAATGATAATCAATATAGCTGCTGGTAGTGACTCCAGGGATCCTTTTTTTCTCCTGCAGTTATACCAGCAGAATTTGACAAGACATTTCTCATAAGGCAGCTATACCATTCTTTACTTCCTGGGTAAATTTATTACCATATCTTTGCAAGAAACTGAAGAGGAATTTGCTCTATAATACTATTGTTAACAAGCTTGCTTGGACTGCCTCAATTTATCATATTTGACAAGAAAGAAACTGATGTGAGGGACAGCATTCCAGAAAACAATTTGACCCAACAAAATGATTTTAGGAGAGCCTTAGGAAGTTAGTCAGTTACATGTAATAAATCATGTTATAAGCACTACAATGGCATGTATTTGGAGCTGCTCAATGAAGTTCTCTCTCCTTTTATGCTTACATCACACTAATTAGCTGGGTAAGAGAATATCATTACAGTCGTTTGCTTATTGCAAGTACATAACAGAAGACCAGTAATTTTCACTAGTAGCAAACTCGGTGTTTAGCACTCATTATCAACAACAAAGTTTAGCTACCTCTTAGAGTTAGACCAATTGGCCAATATTCAGAGAATTAATATCAAAGCTAATCTACACTAAGATCAGCTGATTCTCTCTCAACTCCAGCTTCAAAAACTCTCAAAATCTAGAACTAAAAGCAGCACAACAGCCAGTAGCATTCTATAGCAATCGAACTGAAATGTTCAATGAAAAACACAAATATTCCAGTCCAGTATTATACATCATCAAAAATGGCATCGCAAGCGGCAATCAACAACTCGAAGCATCTAATGTTACAAAAATAGCAATGAAACGCAATAAAATCGCCAAGAGATCGAACTTTTATCTATCCAACATATATATAGAAAGTAATACCTGCTCAATGTCCCGTTCTACAGGTCCAGTCCTGCTAAGTTCCGAAGCCATCTTATCCGTGCGCAACATCAGCAAAAGGATGGCTCATTGAATCCAAACGCCACCGCAGAAAAAAAAAAAAGAAAAAAAGAAAAGAGAAACAGAAAACTGAATCGAAACACTAGCTCAGGTGAAACTCACCCATTCTCAAAACCAGTATGGTTGAGTGAAGTGAAAAACTAAGAGAAACGAATCAACGGAGAAGAGGAAAGAAAAAATGATAATAAGAGAAAGGCTAAGATAGAGAATGGAGAGGTGTTTGGTCAGTGAGAAAATGGAAGAAAGCGAGGGAAAATCTAGGAAAGCATTAGCATGGAAAGATCCGATTAGCCGTTGCAGGGGGAGGAGAGAGAAGAAGGAGGGAGAAAGCTTTAACTAAGGGAAAAACTACAACAAAAACAAATAAAGGCGTTAGAATACAGTAAAGTGGAGGAAAAGCAGAGGATAATTCTCACACAAAAAAAGAGATATTTCCAATATTTTTTTTTTTTTAGTATTGATCTGTCTTAACTTTTTTTAGAAAAAAAAATATCTTAATCCATATTTTAAAAATAAAATAATTTAATTTTTTTAATAAAAATTTATTAAAATAATATAATTTTAAAATAATTTTTTTAATTTTTTAAAAATAAAATTGATAGTCATATTTAAAAAAATTGTAATTTAAAAGTTGCTTTTGGCATTTTTGCTGTTTTTTCTGTTTTTTTTTTCTCTTTTTCTCCGGATATTAGAGACATTGACAGAGATGGACATCGGGTTACAGTGACCTGGACCGACTTCATTCGACGTACCAGAAAAAACCAATTGATTCAAACCGGTCTGATCAAACCAATAGGGTGGTCAATGATTCTGGAAGCAAGACTGGCGTGGGATTTTAGCCATCTAGGGCTGGTCCCATCGGAGGTTAGCATATTAGAAAGCCTCGGATTAGACCGGGTACAAGGCTTGGTCAAAGCCTGACAGCTCAAACTCTAAATCAGGGCAAGATTAAATATTAAAATATAAACAAAAATTGTTGAACTGAATCTTTGAATTCAATTATTAATTCTTAAATTTTAATGTTTTAATTTAATTAATTAAGAGTTTGATTCTCACCAAATTTTCATTAACTATTTAAAAAATACCTCATTCTCTCATAATTTCTCAAGTTCTAAAAAAAAAAAAACAGAAAAGTGTTGTTAAATAAAAATTAAATATTAAAACACAAAAAAGTGTGGTTAAATAAAGTTTTTGTTTAAGTTTAATTATAAATTGTGTTATAAATTTGTTTTATTTTTATATACCATTTATATGGTAAGCTATAAATTCATTGGACTTATTGTACTACATATCAATATATCCTTAATTTTATAAATTTTTTTTTTTAAAAAAAAAGAGAGACAGAATAAAAATCTTAAAAAATTAAATTTTATCGCCACAACAACTATCATGAATATATTCTATAAAAAAATTATTATCTAATAATTATGAAAATATGGTTGATATAATTAATAAAATTAAAATCTTGAGAAATTTAAAATAATTGGGATTTTTTTTTTAACATTTTAGTCATGAAGCCAGCTCGAACCATTACCTTTGGGAAAAATATGAATCTTACAAAAGTGACTAGAACCACTTGATCCACAAACCAAATTTAAAATAATTGGGATTCCTTGATTCGTTAGTATTTACAACATTAAAGAAAAAAAGACGGAAGCACTTGGGCTTTTAGGTTAAGTGGCATCAAGCCGACGAATAAATACATTCCTCCACTTTTAAGGCAACTGTTTAAATTCAGCCTTACAAATTTATTTAAAAAAAAAAAAAAAGGCGAAAAGATATGGAATAGGGGGTGCATGTGCAAAGTTGGATTGGAGTTCACGTACGTGCATGATTAATGGCCCCCCACGGAATGGGCACATCGAGAAGAAAGGGGCATTGATTAAGACAAACGCATGTGTTTACATCATAAATTGTAAAAATTTAAAATCATGCCATATGTCAAAGAGTTTTAGATGGATGGAGGAGGTTTTGTCATGTCAAATATGCAATTCTAGGCCAACGAACAGATTAGCTACCACTTTGAAAGGAAAGAGGTAAAAATATAAGATTTTACCTTTTAATTATCCTTTTAAGTTAAATTATGTTCATTTTAGCTGAAACTTTAACTAAAATTTAGGATAAAGTTTCAATTATGGATTTAGGTTATTAGAAAAAGAGAATAAGTGACGAAATTTGAAAGTGAGTCCGACTCTGTCAACTGTTAAGATGTCTCACCACGTCAAAAAACTGCTCATGACTTTTGAAACTGTAGAAAGTAGAGAGTTACAACCAGAAAAAGGAGAACAAAAGGGAAATTTTGGAAGGGAGAATACACGGTCAACCCTACTCAAAACTTGCAAATTTTTAGATTTTCGTTTTCTCTGCAATTAATTATAAATTTTTAGACTTTCGTTTTATCTGCAATTGCCTATAAATTTCGGATTTTAACACAATTTTCAGTAAATCTAAGTTGTTTTTAATCATTCCAATAAACAAATTAGTTCATGTATTTGCTTCAACAATCTTGCTTCATGTAATGAACTTCAATCTTTTGAATTTCTTCAAGGTACTGTTCTTTTTTTGTCTACTATTAATTTAATGTTTATGATAAGTAGCATTTCTTCAATGATTAATTATATGACGTTCACGCTTCTTCTTAACTTCAAGCATGTTAGTTTAATTCCTGTTTATGTTTGTTTTAATTTTAATTAAAGTAAAATATTTAATTTTGCAGTAATTTAGTTTACAGATCTATTAGTAAATAACATTTTAAATTAACAATGAACATATTTAATTTAATTTAGGTATATCTTGTTCTTGTAAATTTACTTTAAATTGCATGCTATTTAATTTAATTAATATTTGTTAACTTTGATTCACAGTAACATTTAAGTTTTTGGAGTTTTTCAAGACAAATTTCATAACCAATTTTTGTAAAAAGGTATTCCTCTCTTTTGTAAAGCATCTGTAACCACAAATTTTAATTTTAAACCGATGTTCTTCCTAACATCTACAAAAAAGTCGACCATGAGAAAGAAAATAATTGTTGAAAAAAATCCTCTTTTCTTGTTTTCAGCAAAATAAATAACACGTCCGTATCCAGAGTCCGTACCTACGAGATCGCTAGAGGATTTTTTGGAAAACACCATGGATGATGGATGATGTTCTTTTAAGAAAAGGTAGGAGAGCCACACAAGTCTTCCTGGTCCCCAAATTCGTTGTCCTACTTTTGCATCCCCAGAGTGGGGTTTACGTGCTTTTTTTCAACACCCACACATCACAAACAAACCCGATTGCCTAATCCATTGCATCACAATTATGCACTGTCATCCCCTCACACTCATCATTCATTCATGCCTTCTTACCCTAACTCAATTAATTTGCAAT